TAATATGTTTGTAATTACTAAGCGAGGACTTGTGTAGTTCGACGGGCGAGTAGGTGGCATTTTGGTGCTATTGCTCGCGTTGACTCTGATTCCCAACTGTGAAGAGGGCAGAAGTCAGTGGGCAATGGCCCGACCCGCTTTTGCAAGGAAACGTTCGTGAAAAGGGATAGTGTTTGTTATAAATGTGATCGGGACTTCGAATAACCCCTATATACAAGTTTACAGCGAGTTTGGTAAAATCACCCTTGACCAATCCAAACTGACGCCAAATGGCGCCAATTTGGCGCCAGCGCCAAAAATGGATACCATATTCGTGATCAGCGGCCTCGATAACCCCCCTGGTGCAAGTTTTCAGCGAAGAAAATTTATGACCCATATCACCCCCCACTGGGGGTGTAATAGTGCAATAGTGCCCTAGCGTGAAAGACTATCGAGCTGATACGCCAGCGAGGAATCGTGCTAGTTGCAAGCAATCATCAATAAACGTCCGGGCTTGCGAATCTTTGCCGAGAAGCGATAAAGGAAGATCTGAAAGAGAGAAGAACAGCAGTTGTGGACGAAGCCGCCGAGGCCGAGGCATTTGCAAAGTCCGACGTAGATTTGCCAATTACATGACCAAGATGACTGATGGGAGATTTGCCAATTACAAGTCCAAGATGACTGATGACCCTTCGCGGTCTAGACGGAACAGTTATACGCTCTATCGATTCTCCCTTCCGAAATCCGACATGCCATCACGTCGATGAAGAATTGTACGGCGCCCGGTCCCGAGAGAATCAAACAAGAACATCTGGAGGTCCAACTGTTGTCGTTAGAACTCTGGCTAGGCTCTTCACGTGGTGCCTGTCGGAATGCAAAGTGCCCACGTCGTGGGAAACTAGCAAGACTATGCTGCTGTACAAGGAGAGAGATCCCGACGATGTTGGCAAATATTGTTCAGTCTGCCTGCTCTCTAAAATATACAAGCTTTTCACATGCTTCATCGTGAACGGGATTGGCAGAATATTAAATTAAGGGCAGCCATGCGAGCAAGCAGGGCTTAGTGCAACCGATCGTATCCACACTCTTACAGGACTCATCGAGGTATCGCGAGAGTACAAAATGCCGTGATGTCTTACGTTTATCGGTTTAAAGCAGGCCTTTGTTACCGTCGAGACAGAAGCGGTAATTGAAGCTCCAGACAACCAGGGTGTTCCTACTCATTATATAAGCTTCGTGAGTTCTGCAACAATTTCACGACCAGGATCTCACCATTCTATGAAGAGGTTATCATCAGCGTGAATAGAGGAGTTCGACAGGGCGATACCATTTCGTCCAAGCTTTTCGCTGCCACTCTCGAGGATATCATGCGTCATTTGGAACGAGAAAACTTGAGAGTGAAGGTCGACAGCCGCTACCTACATTACCTCCGCTTTGCAGACGACATCGTGCTTATAACATCGAACATCGAGCGAGCGGAACGAACGCTGGGCGAGTTTGACAGTGCTTGTGGAAAGATCGGTTACAACTGACTTAACGAAGACGATTTTCGTAAGAAACGGAATCGATTTTGATGCTCCTTTCACGATACTTGGAATGAATATTACTGAATGCTTCAGCTATCTATTTCGGGAAGTCAGCATGATCAGCAACCTAGCTACGAAGCTGAGCAGAAGCAAACTCGCTTACCTTTTCGGCAATGCTGCCTTTGCTGCTTTGACGTACGCCTCGGAATCTAGGACTCCACGAAAGCAGGATGAATATGCTCTCAACATTAAACGCGTTTGGAAAGGGCGATTAGGAACTTTCCTCCACCGCAAAAGCAGAAGGGAATCCGGTGTTTCGAGCTCCGCCATCTAACGAAGATCAGGGATGCCGTTGATTATGCCAAGAAATCGAAGATCAGGTAGGCAGGACACGTTATGCGATGTAGTGATGACCGTTGGACCAGGGCGGCTGCTGACTGGATCCCTCGGGACGTCAAACGAACACCACGAAGGCCGCCAACGTGATGGTCACGCCTCTTCACGAAAACTCTGAACGAAAGGAATGCTGGGCCTCGTGCTGAAGTGAGGACGATTCACTGAACCACTCTGGCTCGTGACAGGGACGAGTGAAAACGTTACTGGCGCCCGCTCGATGAAATCGATGAAGACTTCTTTCCACTATGATAGCACGTCTCAAAGGCACAGTTCAAGATGCAGTGCGTTTCATAATTATAAGGTCACCCTCGATTTTTGCGATCCTGGAGAAAGCAGCCGGAATGGAATTTTTTGGCAAACGCAGGAAGAATCCTCATCACAATGTACCTCCGTATTCAAATTTTGGTCGCAATATCCTTCACCTCAAATTTTTTATGAATTTTTTAAAGATAGTGTCGGCTTTTGCACCGTTTCATAATTATAAGGTCACGCTGAGAAAGTAAATGATTTATTAACGTTGGTGGCATGTGCACAACACTTAATAATCTATAGCTCTTCCTTGTTTAAGAGCAACATCAAAGACTCTGCGTGGCATACTGCAAACTAGGTTTCGAAGATGTTCCTCATCGATTGCTCTCCATGCTTCGATAATCGCCCGCTTCAGCTCTTCTATGCTCTGGAACTGACGGTTATTCGTATAAACGTATCTGTCTATTATGCCCGATATATTTTCCATAGGATTGAGATCGGGACTGCAGGCTGGCCATGGCAGGACGTCTATTTATTGGCATTGCAGCCACTCATCCGCTGCACGGCTCGCATGAATGGAGGAGTTGTCTTGTTGAAAGACATAGTAGAGGTGACAGCGATGGCATGGAAAGGTTACTATATGATGCTCCAAGACGTTCTGGTAATCCTTGCAATACATACTGCAGCTCAAGACAGGTAGATCCAACACGACATCATTGCAAAATGCACCCCACACCATAGACTTCCTCCACCGAAATTGCGACGGCTGAAGTAGACTGGTTCCTTCCTCAAGTCGCGCCAGTATCGCTTGTTTCCGACAGGACCGTCTAGATTGAATTTCTTTTCATCCGAAAAGATGACCTGGATAGGAATTATCCAGCTCTGTGGTGAGATTTTGATGCAGATCTACCTTTGCCCAATCTCTCCCTAGGTTCATCTTTGCAAATCCGAGTCGAGCCTCTGTGTGGCGATCGGTGATTCGTGGCACCTTCTCCATTGCTTGCCTGGTGATGTTCTCGCATCTTCTCACTGCTCTCCAGCCTGTAGTTTTCGACACAGAAAGGTTTAATTCCGATCGGATCTGGTTCAAGGAGGACGTACTGTAGGAAACAGTCCTCAGAATCTTCCGCTCGTCACGGGCAGTAATCTTTCATGGGTGTCCACAGCCGGTGTCATATCTAGAGACATCAGGGCTCTCCAGAAATCTTTGAATAGGCCAAGGGGATCTCCCTACTTGTCTGCAGATGGCTCGTGTACTGAGCCTACCTTCATGATGAGCCTTCACATCAGAGGAAAGCAGATGACCACGAGCCATGTTGACAGCCAGGTTTAGAAATGCATTTGCTACACATGCTTACCTTTATAAGTATCTTTATACACAAAATTTCCTCTCTTCGGAAAAATGCAGCTGCGGCCTAAAAACGGATACCTAGGTTATTCGTGCTGGGAAACCCGTTCATGATGCTAAAAGAAATCCTTAATGATTGCCTTTTCTGAAAGTGCAAAATTTGAGGGTGACCTTATAATTATGAAACGCACTGTATTTTGAGGTTCTGGCGTAACCAGTTTGGCTTCGCACGCTGACGCGTGCATCTCATGTCCACATCCGCTTACCTAATATGGTAGCACGAAAATTGGCGGGTCGTACTTCAAGAGGTACCAGGATTCACAATAGTAACTATTAAGAAAAGAGGATTTCACGAAATTATGACGACTGAAGTGGCACAGAAGGGGTAATAAGACAAACTGCCAGCCGAGGCAGTTGCGTAAAGAACGGCCTACGGTAAGACAAAACTCCCTTCTACTGTTTCCTCGAAGTCAACCAGTTACGACTCCAACGTTCGCGTTGGCCTCCAGTCGATACCTCACAAGTCGATGGTTCATACTGCGGTACTCAGGCTTATAGCGAACATAAAAAGAAAAGATTTGATGTGTAAGTTCTATTTCTTGACTTCAAGTGAGGAGATATGGTTTACTCTCCCTAAAAGGGTTTCCTAGCGTGAGAAAAAGCTGTTCCCGCGTTGAAGAAAAAGAAGGCGTATGATTGCTAGAATGCCTCTTGTTTGTGTTTTCAACGTGTGAACTCCAATGTGAATGGTGCAGCTTCAACAAGCCGCCTTAACACGGCCATTTTTAGATGTGAACGTCGGTCAATCTGACTTTGGAACCCTTATTACCCTCTATATAGGATATCTTTGACCCGACAGTGTCCCGTGTACTCTTTTGAGGGGTGGGGAAAGGGGGTCATATTCTCATCCAATAGCAAATCTGCGAGACCGTTTTCTGTCTTTAGGAGTTGGAAGTAGCAATAGATGGACTGGATACACAGAGAACAATAAGTCTTTTGTATTTGCTGATACCTGTTCGTGAGCAGGTGGAAAAAACTTTTTATGGAACCAGAACACGCTGTTCTTCATATCACGCTGTGACCATCGTTTTACCATTTTGCTCACTATTTCCGGTGGCCGAATACAGTGGATCGTATTAAATAAATAGAAATGTGTACAATTCACCTCGTGGCCCCTCATTACCTGTAGGCTTGCTCGCCAATTTCCGCAGACTTATAACGTCAACTTGTTACCTTCGATAATTGCAATTTAATTGCTTGCAGCTTTGCACTTGAAAATTCTAGGTCCCTTTCCCTACTTACTGGTATCTTGTGTTGTGGTTATTGATGGTTGTTCGCAGCGCGATCGCTATTGTGGAGCTCATTAGGCGCGGCATGTTTGCGCTTTGGAAGACCCCACCCGTCATCATCTCTACTTGGAATAAATGATTTTGAATATGATTTTTGGTTTACCGTATGATTATAGTCCAAAACAGCTCACGTGACCCCCATGAAAGAAACGTATGGCGTTTGGATCATGTCTAAGTTCGACGTGCGCTTTGTTTTTATACTTGAATGGGGCTGTTTGTAAGAATGGGTGTGAGTTCAAAGTATCCTCACTCGCTCCAAATAGTGAAAGGTTGTTCGCTAATTGCTCTGAAACTGGATTTTCAGCTATTGTAGCTCAACCACCGCCTATCATCGAATATGGTCATCAGAATCAAACGTTAATGGTTGGATCGTCGGCCACGTTACCATGTCAGGCGAGTGGTCGGATACCGCCGAGGATTTCATGGTTACTCAACGGAAATACAGTTGATACCGCCAAGGATAATCGCTACAGTCAGCATTCGAGTGGCAGTCTGCATATTGCGGATCTCAAGTAAGTGCTATACCTATGTTTTTGATATCGAGGCGAGTCAGGTTTCCATGTCATATCTACGATTAGATACTTGACTAAATGACATGCGAAAGTAGGCGCGGCTCCACCTTCCTCGTCACGAATAGGTTCTATGAAGCAAAGTGTTGTGACGTGTTAAGCGAAAATTGATTCAGCATGGGGTGGCGGAAAGTGATACATTGTACAGAATGGAAGCGAGAGAGATCCGTGAGAATCGTTCCCCTAAGTGGCACTAGTATCTAGAGAACGCCATTTCGACCCATTTTCCACCGCGCGCTTCGAACGTTTCTGGCTTGTGGTGTCTGGCGTGCAGAACCGCAACCTTTTTTTGTGCATTTTCGTCGATATTAACCCACTTCTCTGCATCACACATCATAGCAAGCATGATATGTGTGTACATTTTCGTCAAATTTAACCCACTTCCACACATCGCAGAACACGGGAACCATGATATGTGTGAATTCTGTCAATTTCGGCCTACCTCTACACACAAATCATCGTAGCATGCATGATATCTGATTTGCATATTCGTCACTTGTGCATTTTGTCAATTTTGGATAACTCTTTGTGTGGACACCAGGGATGGATTTTCTCTTCAAATCTTCGATGGATCGGTTAAGTGACAGACAGCATTGTTGTGGTGTCTGATTCATGTCGGTTGGATTAGCCAAAAGAGGATTAACCTTCAATATGATATAATATGAGGAACGAATTAGTCGTTCTTTCACAAAAAAACCTCTCGGAACATCATTACCCTGCAAATGAACGAAGAGAGCTGCCTTGCATTCAAAGTAAGGATAGTTTCGTGATTGAAGGGGAAGGATAGGAGAGAACTGCCGATGAAACTACCATTTCATAAGATCGAAATAAACTCATCAGCGATCCCATAATCGTCCATTGTTTTCACTCGTTTCACCGGTTGAATGTAAACGACTCTTTCATCGCTGTGCCTCAAGATTCCCTAGAAGTTGTTAATGTAGCGGATATTTGGAAGGGATAAAAATACAAGAGTAGGCGATAAACATAAAAAGTACTATTATACCATGGCTCGCCGACGGGCCACTCTCAGTGGGTCAAATCCTTGAAAACTCGAGGCAAGTGCTGTCAGCAGGGCTAAGAACATTCTTCCTTCGAGCTCTAAGGTTTCTTTCCAGCTTTCTCGAAGGTTTGTGAAGTTTTTTTTCAGAATGCTAACAATTGCAACACTAGAGTGTCTTTAAGTAATATGGCAGACAAATAGTTGAAAGGTGCAGCTAAGATTGTAGACAACAGACAGGGGAGAAAGCAGGTTTCGCGAAAACTAGCATGACGGCTAGGACACACTCTACATTGACGACCTGAAGAGGAAGAGCTCAACCACTGTGCCACAGCGACGCATGAGCTGTCGCGGGAAACCGCGCATTCCAATTGGTACCATCTCTCCAAGCTTTGAGCGAGCAAGTTTTAAGCGCTGATTACTTTTTTGAGATTCATTTAGCAGTTTTATTCGTATATTTGTTAATAGCATTCCAAACTCTGTCGCTAAGCTAGATGTCCATTCGAAGTTTCATGGGAAGCCAGGTCCCTTTCCAGCTGGTCAGTAGAGCTTTGGCTACACGGCGTTATTGCTGAGCTAGTGATAGTTACAAGACTTCGCTATGTTATATAATGTTCTATAAATACAGAAGGGTTGGAGATCCCGAGTAGGTTTCTTCCTAAATGCACAATGCACAAGAAATTCTCTCCGAATTCTTGGATCTTGTCGTTTCAAATAAGTTGGGTAGATTGGAAACCCACCAGTCCCGCTCGCAGTTAGTGAACCGACTCGAAATCAAATACGTCGTTTCTTGGTTACATAGATCTTGCTGAACTTTCGATTAACAATTTCGATCTGCTTTCTGGGAGCTTATAATGTCTTGAAATTGTTTTGAACATAATTAAAAAGCAAGAGAGCTATAAGTAGGATAGCATTAGTTATAACGAATCTACGTACGTACCGAGAAGTCCTTATGGGCAATCCTCAAACAGGAGACAGCAACAGAATAAAAAAACACTTTATCGCGAACGGCACAATGAAAAACAAAACAAGATTGAATCAAACAAAATAACGGCTCAGCGCCGCAACACGACAAACAGATTGTGCAATGGTAGTGACGACGGCTTATACGCCGGCTTATGTGTACATATTTCGCGTATTGGTCAAAAAAGCACAAGTTCAAATTAATTGCACTCGCCTCCATCTCCCGGGGGACGTTCGACTCGTGCGATTCTGGGTGCGCGCGGCAAATTGCGCGGTGAAATTCGCGATGATTCAGACAACTCTGGCGCCAATCACTGGGGCACAAACTTGGAGTAGAGTACTTTAGTAGGGTCGGACAATCCTACTAACCTACTTCATTTCAAATTTGGGCCCCAATTATAAGCGCTGCAGTCGTCCAAATCGCACCAGCTCTTTTTTCCTCCCTCCTAGCCTCGAGACTGCGCGACTGTTGGGAGCTCCTCCTGTTGAAGCCTTGTACTAATTTTATATGGCAACACTCTAGCGCGTTCGTTCCTAAGATCACCATTTCGCCAACGGCACCACGGCTTTTCCCACAAATGCCGATATTGACTATTCAATTTCCTCAGACTGAATGCATACTTTGATGGTATCCAGGAACGCCATTAACTTTTCTGACCCATCTCTTATCCGGACTCAGGGAGGGGTTAGTCGTTCAGCGTGGTTATCCAGGTTAATCTCAGAGTCTATTGCCCCTCTGAGCAGCTTTACCGCAATTACAGTCACTTGTGACCCTGTATCTAGCGATGCTTATGCCCTGATTCCAAAAATAACAATATTCCCCACTGTCTTTTAACCGACGTAATCGCCAAACTCTTTGTCAGTCTTTGCTCCCTCGGCTTCTGCTACTGCCGTCACTACTTTCACCGTCACCGCTTGCGACTGTGGGGCCCGACAATCTCTGGCCACGTGGCCTGGCTTCCCACGAGCAAAGCATGAGCGCGACACTTTTCTTGTACCATTTTTGCCGAACTGTGTGATCTTAAACTTGGTGTGACTGATCCCGGTTGATTTCACATTATTTTCTTGGCGGTTCTCCATTTCCATCACTAAGGGAGTTCTGAGCTCAGCACTTCTCCTCTCCTATCTCGGTTTCAACTGCTGCATAGGCTTGCTTCTGCCTGTCTTCCTACATTCATCCGCAATTCTGGCATTTCCCTCTAACCGCAGTGCCGTTTCCTTCAGCATTTTGTCGACTTCTGCATTTGTCTTGAGTGCTTCTGTTAAACAGTAGCTGCCACTCCAGTTGGATAATTGTCTGCTCAGGATCTCCGCTTTCTGCAGCGCAGTCACTTCCGGTGGCACGTCTGGGCATGCTTTGCCTGCAGTGCGCTTCAATACCCAACAGAATTCGGCTACTGACTGATCTTCCCTTAGAGTTAATTTCCTTAGGTCAGATACTGCCTCAATTTTCTCACTATTTCCGTGAATAACCATGCGTCTTTTCATCGCCTCGATAACCCCATCAAACGAGACTTCTCGAATCTCGACGGGCAGGGTATCGAAAACCATTAGCGCGTTTTTGCGCAAGAACCGTTCAATAGTAGTATTCGGCTTGAGTCTGTCCCCTTGTTTTTGGATATTCATTTCAAATCAACACAAAAATCTCTTGAAACGCTCTGAGGTTTTCATCCAAAAGGTTGTACCTCTACCTCAGGTTGTGACTTTGTTCTAATATAATCACTCATAGAGAAATCAAATGCGCGTTCCTCACCTGTGTCCAGTGATCGTCGAATTCTGAGTTCGCTCCTTGATTCGTCGTTCTGCGTATGCCTTAAGAAACTCTGGGTCGGTTGCATCGTGGTCGACTGCTGCGAATCCTGTAATGTACAATCTGATCTAATATGTACCTCTTTGTATCGTGTGAATATTGGAGTTATTACCGATATTATTTCGGTCATCGCCTAGGTTTACGATTGCAATGTTTCATTTGCTGAGACAGCTCCTCAACATGCCCTCTAACTTGCTAACACTTAGTCGTCTGACTTTGAATAGCACTTATCCCAAATTTCTCACGATATAATGCACACTAACTCTTTCACTAAGGTGCTTTGCTCCGACACAACCGCCATTATTGATTCCCTTTTTGAGGCGTCAAACCACGTGGTCTTGGACAACTCATTGTCGCACTTGATCGCTGCTGTGGATAGAAGCGCCATGACCTCACGGTTCAGCTTGTCGAGTTCATTGTAAGAACTCACCCCAGATCCTGATCTGGTTTCCTCCATTTCCATGTCATCTGGGGCTTCCGTATTCCTCACCGGCGTATGCGGTGATCTCTCCGGACTGGCTGGAGAATGCATATATACAAACTCGAAAATCGTCCCACGTTTATTCGCTATAGACAAGACGCTAGAATTCTCGCGGATTACACCAATAAATCAGAATCGGGGCACTGTTACCGGAACACTACACCAACCAGTAACAATAACAATACCAAAAATTTATTGGTCAAAAAAAGAACAAGATCAAATTAATTGCACTCAGGGGCCACTTTTTTTTGGAAACACCGATCCACGCAGTTCCCTCGCTCTTACCGCACTATTTTCCATCTTCTCTTCCATTTTTCGTCATAATCTGGATTACCCAAAATTATAGTGAACGTTGCCGTTATTGGATACAGAGTGAAATACGTACATGATATCATCAACACCGTTACTATATTCACTACAACCATGTATGTCTAGGTAATTTGTTTCTATCATATGCGCAACATTAAGATTGTCCCCTAACTCGACTTGTTCTAATGAAACATAGGCTGACATTTCATGAATAACGACTCACTTCTACCTGGCAGCAAATATATGTTCATAGACCGGTCATTTACGTGATATCAGCGGTGTCTGGTCTTCTCTTTGTTATATGAAATGCATTAGAGGGGAGGCTCGCTACATTGCTGCCAGCATCAGGGTGGCCTAGAAAGTGTTTCCGACCGAAAGGCTTGATGACCTTGGAACAATTTGTGCTGAGTGCGTTGATTCGTGTGATGCGCGGTTTTTTTTGAAACACGTTAAACAGTCGTGCCACAGGTGGGTTCGTAGAGGATAAGGCGACGTCACACCGACATGGATGCAGTAATTAGGGTCTGGAACGGCTCGTGTTTATTGTAAGAAGTATCGTGCTCCTGTTGCGCCTACGAGTTCGTGGTATAGTTTTTTGGTGTCTTGTGTTTTGCAATGCTTTTTGCGTTTGTGTGTGTGTTTAGTCGATAAAAGCGCACCTGTTCGTAATGCGCTCGGTCTGGTGTTCTTTGTTGTTTGATGGAGCATCGTAGAGCTTACAATATGTATGCGAATGATGCGCTAACGGTGTGAGATTCGGGATGGCGAGAGAGGAAGTATGTCGGAGAGCAGAGAGGGACGTGCTGATCGATAGGATTGATCATTCATCGGTACTTTTTTAACAGCAGCAATAGATTCTTTAGAAAATCCGACAGTGGTGTTTACACATGTCGAGCAAAGAACGATGATGGGGAATCGACTTGGACAGCATCGTTGGCCGTTGAGGGTACGATGAAGTTTTGCAGTATTTTTCTCCGTAGGCAGGGAACTTTGGTCGCAAGTTTGGAAGAGTTCTATTAGCGTTTTTGAGAGGTCATGATTCCAGATCACAACACCAATTCGATTTTCTCGCGTATGCCGGATCGGTCAAACTTCCCATCTGCGCCATCACAACCAATCGTCAGTAATGTGTCAGACACTGAGGTAAGAAGAAATTTCGTGAAATGATTCTCGCTTTCTGGAAATTTCAGCGACAGCATGTTGTAATCTTGGCATTATTGTTTGCCATGGTATTACAAAAGGCAGAATATCTTCGCTCACGGACAGGCACTCATCTTTAGTGTTCATTTCACGGCTCCGTCACAAAATTCAATGGCTCTTGTATTGCGCACCTAGTTGTAAAAATTGGGGCGAAGGTGGTGTAGTAGTAAGTGGAGCTCTCACACACGCATGGTGAAGGGCCACATTTCCGATCTATATCCGCCTAGGCCAATCAAGCCTTCGATACCTCCGGGGTCCGTTAATTTGTACTGCGTGTGTGAGCTGCTCCACTTACTACGCATCCAATACGCCACTACTACTCTGAATGGAAGTCAAATGCGTGGGCACATCCTTCAGGCGGCATTGATTAACGCCAAGAGACTTTGAAGACCGTAATGGAGTGGCATAAGTGGACTCTGCCTACTTGGGGGTGTGGCGTGCGCAAAAATGTAAATTTGAACCTGGGGCGTTCAAATTTGAGAGGGATGCAGGTGGTGAGATAAGAATATCAACGAAAGGTGTCAGGTGCAGGCTCTGTTCACTGGGGGCGGAGAGTGCCCAAATATTACTCTGTTAGAGCTGGAGCTTCAAATTCGGAAGTTTGACAGCTGGCAATTTGGGAACTCCAGTAGCAGAAGTCAGGTTGTAACCCGCTCTCTAGGCGGATTGGCGCGAAAATTGCAAATTTGGACCTGGGGCTTTCAAGTTTGGTAGAGATGCGGACGACAAGATATAATACTAATGGGAGGTGGAAAAAGAGACTGTGCCTCTGGGGAGGGGCATGCACGAAAATTTGCAATTTGTACTTGGGGTCTTCAAATTTAGTAGAAATGCAGGTGGCAGGAAAGGAGGACTAATATCGGGTGGCAGGCCTGGACTCCGTAGGCGGACAGGGGAGGGGGGGGGGGGAGGTGGAATGAAGAATCCGAAATGGACGATCCTATCTAAAGGCCTTCTAGATTGTGCAGCGTTAATTCCTAGCTTGCCTGCTTTCACACTTGTAGCCTTCCCATGTGTTTGAGGACCTACGCTGTGGGGATTTTGGCCGATATACTGATATGCTATATCAATCTGTTGTGTGACTATGTAATTGTGCTCACACAACTTTGTTCCCTTTAGTCGTACAAAGTTACAACTTCAAGAAAGTTTGAGAAAAATGGTGGGGTCAAGATACAGAACTAACGATCGATTCCGTTTGCTTATCTGTGTAGGATTCTATTGTTTAGCTAGATCAAAAGGTTTACTTTCAGAAGGTTCGCCTCATAGTGAGAACTCTTATGACATTCAAAAGAAAATACGTGTAGAACCTCTTGCCTCACATGATTACCATGATTTTTACGTAAACTTTCATTCAACGTATAATGGTCACCAAAGTCATCGAATGGTGTGATATCAAGTGCTTGCTCCGACGGGCGCCGACAAATGATGGAGAAGCACATAAATTTTTATTGCATTCTCAGTGAAGTACAGGTATTCCAACAATGGTAGGAGGGTAAACAAGAGAAATTGTAACCAATTTCAAGACCTATCTTGATTTTCAAAGTTGTCTAAGTTAAGGTTAACATATGGTTGCATAGACGAATGCACAGGCGTCAAAAAATTATGGGCGCCAAGCACGGAAACTTCTAAGATAAATTAATTTTTCAAAGTCACTGGAAGCGCCATTAATCGATTGCACAAGTAGGTTTTCTATCAATATGCATGTCACTGCACTAGAACTCTCATTATCTTTTAGATGGCAGAGGCTCATGCAATGCCTCTTGCAATCATTGACATGCGGGAGGCGGAAGGGCATTATGAAATTCCTTGTGGTTCCTATAATATCCGTAGAGAAAGCTATTAAACGATACATAGAAGAAGATTCAATCAAAGACAAACCAGGAAAGGGTGGAATGACCAGTGTTTCCAAAGATGTTATTAATAAAATGGTCTGTAGGCGAGTCAATCGTGACCCAGGGTGACCCATCAAAAGGACGGCAAAGAAGAAGGTTTTATCACAATTGTTGGTGGGGATGGTCAAGCAGAATCTTCATTGCCATTCCTATCATATGCATAAATTTCGATTCATTCCCGATCTCAGCAGTTATAGGGCAAAACATGTGGAAAGTTGCTAAATTTTTTCGAATGGAAACACGCAACCCTCCATCGTTTTTTCTAGCTAAAAAATTTTAACGACAAAGGCATACTCAAAAGAAGAAAACGATCGCGTTTCAGCTAGAAATATCGAACGTGCAATCTCCCAAAAATGGTTGTTATAATAACAGCAAAATGTTGTTTATTGAGGTGGTCACTAGCAGTGGTAAATGCTCGTGGTTTCGTGGGTACCGGCGTGAAAACTGACAATATACTGTACTCAAAGAGCATACTGATGGACGTAGTGAAACACTGGTCTGACTGCGCTTCCTAAAACAGCTCGTAGTCCATCCAGCAGGACGGTACTCCAGCCCACAGAGCCTAGCTGCGGGAGTGGTGAAGACGCTAGTTCTCGACTTCATTAGCAAAAGGTATGGCCATCCTGCTTTCCAGATCCCAACTCACTGATTCCCCCGTATGGTCCCTGTTCAGAAAAGTACCTGTCGGGTCTTTGGTCCCAGTTCGGAGTCTTGAACAGCAAGACTCAAGAAGGCCTGGGAAAAAATGAAGGAGGATGCCTGCGTGCAACATGCGAGGAATTCGAGAACGATTTTCGGACCTCTATTCACACTCAAATGGAACATTTTGAAATGTGATTGTAGCATGTTTTAGCGCAATACGAGCAAACGTGCATATACAGGGTGTTCCAAGATTATGGACGCCACTTCATAGCAATGTAGCTTCTAAGCTGCGAATGACATTGGAGCCTCCATACACGTTTGCTAAGATTATGTACTACACATGCTACAATAACATTTCAATTTTCAAAATATTCTCCATGAGCGGTGATACTCAGGTTTGTTCTCAAACTGCTTGCAAGTGGCATGCAGGTATCCTACCCATTTCTTTCCAGGTGCTGTGAGTCTTATTTGCTAGGACTCTAAACGTTACCAACCCAACAGGGCCTCTTCTAATCAGTAGAGTCAAGTGAGTCAAAGCCTGGAGAGCTCGATGGTCATTGCTCCATACTAATAAAGTCGGGCAGCTGGCGTCGGCACCACTCCTAGACGAGAGTGGCTCTGTGGGCTTGAGTAGGGTTCAGCTGGAAGAACTACGACCTATTTCAGGGAGCGGAGTCGGATCAGTTCTTCATTACGTCTATCAGTATGCCCCTTGTCAATTTTTTACCGGCCCCGACGAAATCAGTGGCGCTTTACCAGAAGACGTGACCCCTTCACAAAACATCATTTTTCTGTTCTTATAGCAACTTTTCCGTTAGAGATTGCATGTTCGATATTTTCCTCCAAAACACGTTCGTATTTTCCCTGTTGAGGAGCGATTTTTTCGTGAGTTTTTTATGAAAGTTGCGGGTCCCCAGTCAAATGAGTTAGCAACTTTCTGAATTTCTTGAGCCTACGCTTCCTGTTGAGGTTATAAGTGAAGCGGCATTCCTGTGTAAGATAGGAACGGCAATGAATTTTCGCTCGACAATTCGACCCACCGACTACTTCGACCAATCTCGCTCCTTTGTCGTCTCCTTGATGGTCACCCAGAATCACTGGCGCCTCGCAAATGGACTATTTTATTAGTCCTATTTTCGAAAACGCCTTTCTACCGCTTCCTGGTTTGTATTCGACTGAATCTTCTCTGTAACGATCATCACCTTTCTGTGCGTATAGAATCCACGGTGAATTTCAAAATGCTCTTCCGTCACTCGCATGCCAATGATTGCTAGTGGCATTGAGTGAGCACTCGCACCTAAAAGATATTGGGAGTTTTACCAAAGAGACCATGCATATTGCAGAAAAGCCTGCTTAGGCGACCACCTACTAGCGAATGGAGTGAATATAATGATTATTTATACCTTGTAAAGTTCTGAATTTGTGCGCCCTTGGACACCTTGTAGATTCTATCTTCATTGTCAGCTTATAGGCTTCGAATAATTCTCGTCAAATGACGCATTGTAAACGTGATGTAATGACATATCTTTCGACACCAGTTCAAGTTTCTTCTTTTAGTTGCCTCGTCCTTTCGAATTTCTCATTCCTGCTGTACTTCGGTTTTCAGGTGGATTTGGAATGGCGAGCCCCTGAACGAAACGGGGGTAGTCCTATCACTGGCTACATAATTCAATTTTTCAGCCCGGAAATGGGAGAGGTTAGTACGCTTTCTTATCAGTGTTACGAACCTTCTGTTGTGGAGCTATGTAGAATTCACCTCATTTTCTTTCAGACCTGGTTAAATGCTCCAGACTACGTCTTTGGTTCACAATATCGTATAAAGAATTTGAAGCCATCACATACATATGTGTTCGTCGTTAGAGCTGAAAACGAAAAAGGTATTGGACCACCAAGTCCAGTATCTTCGGTTGTAAGCACGATGGCAAGAAATGCCTATTGTAAGTTGGCAAGATGTTTTCGCTTTTGATTCACGCATGTATCACGTATGTAATTTTAGATAGATTCTTACGCTGTTTTATTTCAGAAACTGCCGAGCTCTACAGGCGATCATAGGTCTCTAATCGCTGAGGGGACTATGATTTGTTGACGTTTGTTCAACAATTGCAAACAATTTCATAGTATTTGGTTCTCGAAAAGAAGTCTCTTCTTGAACTTCTTGGAAGAGTAGCGCTCAAAAGTCTTCGGTGAAATGCTTCGACGCTTTTTCGTTCATAACTTTTTCTTATTGTTAGTGAACCAAATCGCGCAAAATTTGGATATGTCTAACTAGAGCATATTTCACCCTACCCGACGATATTTGACTGCAAAGCTGCAATATCCACGGATAAAGCTAGGTGTTTGTTGCGGTAGCAGATTTTGCTAAACATAAAGTTGCTGACGTCTGCGCTTATTCGCACCTTATGTGCGTTTTTCTCATCTATTGTGTAAGGCATTACCGCTCGTACACTTGAGACATGACAAAAAGGAAAGAGGTTCTAGAGGGCCATCATCTCTATTTTCAGTCGATTTTGAGTTCAAGCTCTTTGGAGTATCTGGAACATGATCAGATTGCAAGTTAATAATAGTAAATATTCACAATACCCCCACGCTCCAAATATAGAAGTTTCGCATGATTAGATCTAGTAGGAAAGGAGTTACGACTGAACAGTACGGCTGGAGAACTATTTCACCGAAGACTTTTGAGCGCTACTGTATATCGGATCTCACTTAGACAGCGTCTAAGCTGCAATACTAGCAGTAACAGGAAGGACTTCTTCTATGGGCTCTAACCCCTTTTCTGCTTTTCAAATAATTAAGAACAGAGTCATAAACTATCGACTTCAGCCCCACCTACCATGATGAAAACCGCGCTAACTTCGGAGATTTGACCACGCTACTTTGGTAGCGTCTGACCATTTTCCCCGCGCTCCAAAACAATTTCGAATAGTCGCTTATTTTCTACCTTCGTCTTAGCCACTGCACTGCAAACCCCTCCCCTTCTAGAGGTTCAACCACATCTTTTCTCTCGCCTCTAAGCACTTTTTTCCGGGTCCTAAAACGTTTCTGAACGGAGTAATGAATTTTCGATGTCATCCCCATCCGGAGAATTTGACCACGTTCCTTAGGAAACCTCTAACCACATTCCCCGCGTTATAGGGAATTTTTAGACATAGTTATGAATTTTCGGTATTAGCCCCGTCCACCTCAGGGCAAGCCCCTCCCACCTTAAGGATTTGACCGAATCCCTTCAATAACCTTTGACCACTTTGTTCCCACGTTATAAGCATTGAACAAAGTTAGATGTATATTCTTTTTAAACTACCTCCAATTTGAATTTATGCCCCGCCTGACGTAGGCGCAGCCTCGCAAGGAGTAGGCATTCCCAGCACGCATAAGCACGCCTTGCTCACTCCTAATTTTATCTGAACTCCACATCTTTGTTGAACCGAGTAACTAGTTTCTGTGAAAAGTGCCGCCCGCTTCGATAATGCTCCGCCCACAGCGGGTGATACTCCTTCGTCTGATTTGTTCACCCATTTCTAGCCTTAACCCATTTTCCCACTCTCGGCTTTTCGGAAGCCAAAATACGATGTTCAGCTCTTGGCACCGCCAATTTCGGTACATACCTCGCCCCCTGTGGGCGGAGCTCCGCTGAGCTTATATGTGCTTTGTTGATCTTGTCCTAGGCTCCATACATACATACATACATACATACATACATACATACATACATAC